AACTTTGCCATTTTAAAAAAAAAATTTTGAGCGATGATATCTCAACAACCACCTAATCAAATTCGATGAATTTTTTTTTTATTTGAATTCTACAGATTCATAAAATTCGAATAAAAAAAATTCATCGAATTTGATCAGAAGGTTGCAGAGAAATCGCTACAATCACGTAAAATTGATCAATATGCAAACCGCGATAATACCGTCCACTACGTTACCCATTGAATAGCGATATTTTGTCGGGCCATATTATTATAAAATTTTGTAAAATTTTATTGCGCTTTTCGCAGGCGTTATTTCGAAGAGTGTGACTCTTTAAAAATATTATACTTGGTCCATGCGCTTCCGAAATAACGCATACTGTGTAGGCGGATTTTACATATAGGAATGAACCCTGGGAATATATTTTGTATACAGCACGGAAAAATCCTTATAATTCGGGTCCAGGTGCACAATTTCAGCAAGAAGTAAATATGATGATGCTGAACGAAAAAGTGGGTGAACTTAAATTATGAGTACAGATGAAATAAAATTTTTACTATCGGACTATACATGAAATTTAAAAAACCACGATTTGCCATAAGTATATGCGCTATTTCGAGGTATCAGTATAAATTATTTACTATTATTTGAAAAAAATAAATAAAAATAAAATACTAGTTTTATAGTAAAACAGTATAATAAATATTATAGCGTCTGATTCATTTATTTAAACATTAACATATCTACTTCTTTTAATACTTTTGATATAAACAATTTAGCATCTCTTTTTCTAATTGTCTATCTTCCTCATTTTCTGCATTATTTATATTATCCTTCCTCTTTTGTATTATAAGCTCCCTGTTTAATTCAATATATCTTTCGCAATAATCCATTAGTTGAGGTGCACTACATTCTTGAGCCCATTTTAAAGTCTCTACGACATTATTAACATTGACGTATGATTTAGTAATGATTTTTTCTTCAATAATGTCTTTAAGTGGATCTACTTGATATATATCAGATGCTTTAAGCAAATCTATCAAAAATGTTAAACATCTTGCTTCAGAATCTGAAGATTGATCTTCAGATATTTCAAACATATTCGACGTGGCATCTTCGAACGATTGGCCATAGAGCCAGCGTATAAGAACTCGGAATGTGTCAGGCTGAATATCATGTATTTCCACTGTTACTCTTTGTGATTCGGCAGATTCGATCATTTGTCCACCAAAAATTGCTCTGAAATAAGTTGAAGAAGCTACAAGAATATAGAGAATTAAAACCATAAACGTTATAATTGATTTCAATTTATACATTACATACATAAAACATAAAGAACATAACAATTACCTGAAAGAACATATCGGCTAGCGTAAACTTTTTCAATTCTATCATCATTATAAATGCAAAAAACAACATCATGATGTTTAGTGTCGTTTTGCATTTCGAAGCTATTTAATAGTTCCTTAATCAATTCTTCTTTTTGTGAATGTTTTCTGACATTAACATTGGATTCAACAGCTTTTAATTCCTTTGCA